ATGTAATTTTTTGGTCTAAAACGATCTTTGAGTGTCTACCCTTAACCACTGCCGAGTTCATGACATATGAAGTTAGTGTTAGTCCAAATGACAGATGCACGTGTTTCATCGTTCATCCGTAAGGCTAAATATAAATGTCATTTGAACTGCACTACATTTTTAATGAATATATGTATGTTACCCACAAGCGCAAAAGACACTATAATGGACGTTTTGGCTTATTTGTCAATGTATGCTAGCCATACCTCAATCCGAGGAGAGCTAATTAAATTTTAATCTGAGTTCGCTGGTCATCTAATGTTTAAAAGATCCAGTTCTCCATTAGTTGGTCGCCAAGGCGTCTGGAGTATTAATAACTCTTGGCTACACAATCACTCGTGAGATCTGTGAACGTGGAGTTTCAAACCCAAATGGGAAAGCTATTTTCTCTTCTGTGCTTTCCACTTTCATGTGATGTTCTGTATTCGCGGGCTTTCCAAGCGAAAACACCAATAACTTACATTATGAGCAGTAAGAAACCACATGTCACTGTTTCACTTTGAGGGACCAGGAGCCCGCGGCTAACTGGTATGCGGAAATTGCTGAATGTTGATTAACAGGGCTTAACGGTGACAGAGCGTTGTGCTTTGAAGTCAGATCCCCGTCCACGGGCTTCACATTATCAGTATTGGACGAGGAGAAGAGGTAAGACGTCTTCTCGTGATCGAAATGTTACAGCACTTGGTGGCGTCGTTATAAGATCAATATGGTGTAATTTAAAAACACTTTCTGTATATGCAATGTCCTTGCTTCTGCCACTAATTTAATTCAACTTCAGCAAACTCTTTCATATCTTCCTTAAACTCATCATAATACCGATTTGTAGGGTGTAAAGTGTTTACTGGAGAACGGAGCCTCCTTCCAGGTCAATATGACCGCCATTTGTGTCCCGCCAACCGTCGCGAAGGATGTTCTGCAGTTCTCCTGTCCGGTGCGTGCGACGGACACTCGGGGCGTCGCGGTGGCAAATCGTACAAACTCCCATTGGTTACTCAAACCTGTTGTAAGCGGTAGCGAATGGAGCGGTGCGGAGACCTTTGAAGTTGGTCCACAGGAGACCGGTTACTATGAAGTCACCTACCACCCTCTCAGAATGTGTACAAATGGGGAAAAAAAGAGTGTAAGTGAGAGAATTCAATTACTTTTTCGCTGCAGTTTTGAGGTAGCGCTTTGACGATTCCCCAAATTTAAAGTTACAGAGATATAAGCACCTCGGGGTAAATGGCTAAAAGTACTAGCTACTACTATTGTGTATTGAAACGCAAAACAGGAAAAACGAGATTGAAAGTTTTATTATATTTTCTCAGCTATCTAATCATGCAAAAGTTCACTCTAAGAGACAAAATGGCACAACTAATGAAAGCCTTATTTGGTCTTTCAAAGCGTCGGCTACACACATCCTTTTGAAACGTGACTATCACGTATGCGCATCCATGAGAATTAATGTTCAGACCCACAATTTCAATGAACATTAGATTCGAAGTCCATCAGCTACTCAGAATAATCACGTATATATAGATATGTACATGCACGAAACGCTTAAAACACAATTTATGCTTTTGATTCCCAGTCTCCATATATTCTGTGAATGAACTTGTGAAACCTTTGATTATTTAGGGTACAGTGTTCTTCCCTCTTCCTGATGGAATGGGAATACTACATAATCTAGCGGGCATCGCTGAGCCCCCGAAAGCAATGGGCAAGTTCAACATCGAATTCCGTGCCAGAGAATCCCATGAGTTCTCTGTCGATGTGCCAAACTGGTTGCCGAGACCCCAACGGTTCACTGTCACGCGAATGCTGGTTCGACCTGATAAGGTCGATATGAATTTAAGCATATCGGGGTTGGAGCACATCGATGTTGCCGGAAATTCCTCAAAACAATACAAACTCACAGTGTCTGCACAGAAGGAAGGTTCAACGCAACTGAAAGTAAGTAATGTATAATAGACGAGCTTTTCATGACATTTTGGAGCTTTGCCTTGTATAGATCTATAAGTGCATGCCAGTTTTCT